GGGGATTACGAAATTATTCGAATTGTCATTTGTTTGCTTTTTGTGCTTGCCCTTTTCAAGTGGGGATTTTTCCGAGTACCATTGAATTGCGATTGAAAAGTTCATCGGGCTTTGGCTGTGGCTAATCCCATAACAAGCCTCTTGGATCCCCTTTCCTTCTAATCACTTAATACCCGCCAATAACCCACGGTTAGAGATCCAGACGGGCCCGTCGATTTAACAACCATCTATCATTAAATAATTTGCTAAATTTCTGACAAACCAACAGCGCCACGAAGACCCTCGGGAACCGCAGTTTGGTCTCTCTCGACCTTCTTTTTCACTTTTAATTAGCTGTGCAGCCGATAAAAATGCGCTGAAAATTAAGCGAAACGGCTCCGCTCACAACAATAACAAAGGGAACCGATCAGGGGCGGCGAAGGGGGATACAAGATATAGAAATTTAGGGGGGGTTCACATCACCAAACTGGTAAAAGATTCGCACGCAGAAAAGTTGGGGAAAGGGAAGTGGGCAGGGGTTTTTGAATGGAAGCGAAGGCAGAAATATAATTACAGTGATCACTCGAAAATAAATTAAAAACTTTAAAAATTTATAACTATTATTTGCAAATATTTTAAAAATATGTTTCCAAATAAATTGATGTAGTAAATACTTTAACAACGATAACTGATACTTAAGGTTGGCTAGTACTTGAAATCATTGCATATCTTTAAATTGATCTATTTAGAATCGTGTAAGTTTCTTAACAATGTTACTAAACAAAACGAATATATATTTTATAAATTGTACATTATATATATATTTTTTTTTAAATTCTTAAGTAGTGTGTCTTTTATCGACTTACTACTGTATCTATCTGAGAAAGAGGGACAGATTTTAGCAGTGCCTTTGGCAATAGCAGAGGCGCTGGCGAAATGGTCGCGTCCGAATGGTTAGTACGTGATCGGTTCATAAAACTAAAAGCAACCATAAACTGATAATTCGAGAATTTATAAAAAAGAGGAGATGCAGACACTGGCGTTCAATGGGTTTCGGGCGATTGATCGACCTGGAGTAGCCCAAACGCGGACAGGAAGCTCCGACCATCATTGATGATGATGATAATGATGATGGCGATGATAATATTGCCGCTGATCTCTATGTTTTCCAGGAAGCCTGATCAGTGGGCAGATCTCAGAAAAGGTTGGCTTGATAAAAAGCTTATAATCTATTATCTCTAAGACACCCACGTTCCCAAAAAATATGAGAAATAAAGGAAGGAAAGCTTAGCTTAATAATTAATTAAACAAGACTTATATCAATATGTTATTATGCATTATAATAAAGAAACTTAAGAACAAAACCGCCTATACAAATGACTAAGCTACCCTGGAAATTGCAATGACTTGTTCATCGTTTTCGATTCTGCTGACTTTTATTCACCTCCGTGGGATTTGAGTCCCTCGGGGCAAAAATACTTTACAAAAAGCCGTAAACGTCCAAAGTTTGTTGACTAATCTCTTTGTAGCCCCAAAGAATGTGTTTCGAATTTCATTACTAAACTTGATCCGTGATCCCTGTTTATGTTCCAGTTAGGCGAGTGAGTTTCATGATTAAATTTTAATGCATTTTCGTTTTAAGACGCTCCATTGTGCCAACTCTTTCGACGCAAGAAGAGCTGTTGCTTCTGGCAGATCGTAAAACGTTCCCAGTTTTTCCCCGCCCGACTTTAATGATCGTCGAAGCTAATTAAAATATTTAGCTGAGACGTTGCAGCGGAACTGGGCGTAGAATGCAGACACAACTGAAATTCGTGTTAATTTTTTTACGGCCTCGATTTGCAATTTGCCATAATTAAGCATTAGCGTTTGTGGTGTGTCATAAATCGAGGAAAATGCGGGACGAGGAGGCGGAGGGAATCGTTATCTTGCAACAAGCGGCAGGTCAAGAACGTTGGCGACCCAGGACGCCTATAAAAATTGAAAATTACCAACGCAACGAGATACAGATACAGATACAGATACTTTTGCGGGGTGGGAGGGCATCTCCAATCGCAGCCATGAATGAAATGCGTACTGAATGAAGTGGGTCTGGGAACTTAGAGTCAGAGTCAGAATCAGATCTCGACTCATCGCCATGGCAAATTCGAGCTAAAAGACACAAAAAACAATGCCATCCCCATTTATGATTATAGTTTTTGTTTAGCTGTGACATCGCCGGATTCGGATTCGGATTCCCGTGTCTTTCGTTCGCATTTCAATCGTCGCAGGGACTGAGAATCGAATCGGGGTTGTGTCGCAGAGGCGTCGATAAAACCGCAGGGGGTCATAAATTTCTCGAGCTTCTTGCGTTTTGTTTGCCTGAAAAATATCAATTGAAGTAGCCGCCGGCAGTCCAGAGTCCAAAGTTATCGCCAAAAAATAAAGAATGTTCCACAGGGAGATACAAGTTCTGTTCTTTCTTTCAATATAACTTTTATTTTGTGTTGTTTCTGGATGTTTCTTATATTGGTATGTGTCATGTAAGAGAGGAATTATCGGTGAAGGGTATTTGTGAAAAGGGTAATGACATGACAACTTGAGCTGAAGGGTGGTTTAAAAGAAGTAATGAAAGTTTTGAAACCCTCGAATTTACTGTTTTCGAAAGTAAGTTTTGAAAAACTTAAAATTATTTGTTATTGTCAAACGATTATATCTCGAAAGTTAACTTATGGTCTCCAGAAGTCAAACTTAGTTTAAGTCAAAAATAGTGATTATTGGTTTTAAGACTTGATGTCTATAAAAATCAAAAAAAAAAAATTTCTGGCATATGTTTTTTCCTGTATATTATTTTTTAAAATTTTAAAATATTATGAATAGATTAATTATAGAATTTATATATGAAATCTTTAGTCTTTTCAATAAATTCTTTTCTTTTCAAAATTATTTAAATTCATTATTAACATATTTTCTTTTTTTTAAGCCTTATTTATAGGTAATTGTCAGGTCTACCCCATTTTATTTATTCTATCCTTCCTGCTGCTATCGCATACGATTTAGTGTCGTCTTTGTTGCTTATCTGCGGTGGCTTTCTTTCAGCAGAAGACTGAGATCCACCTCTCTGCCGTCTCTTTCCTTGCCTCTAGCCCCCTCTCTTTCGCACTCACAAGTCGTCTCCTGAGCGTGTGTCATCGCAGTTAAGTGGCGCGGCAAAGAGTTAATCTCGTCGATAATTATAATTTATGGCTCGCTGTGGGTTCACCTTCTTCAAAAATGCCCAACTAAGTCTGGATGCAGTTCACTTTTTTCTTCATTTATTTCTCCTTATTTATTTGATTTTGTTTTGTTGCTTTTCTTTCGTCTTTACAGTGCTTCATCATAATCACAATTTTAATTGGAGTTTCGGCATAAAGGAAAATCAACGCATTGAGTTGATTTTTTTTATATCTGTATATTTTTTTTTTTGCTGCCGTCAAACTGACAATATTTATGATTCAGATTGCCCATTGTAATTGATCATTGTCTGTGGCGATCATAAACTATGTGTTTCAGTGTACTGCGTGTGCGTTTATGGTGCGCCCAATTATGTCAATCACAGTCATGGGCTACTGCTACTTTTTCCGTTGACCACATTCAAACCCCCCCTGCAAAACTCACCTACTTAGATACTGGTGCCCCATTATACACATTATATCTATATCGTAATTTATCAAATTGATAAGGCTCGTGAGTAGAGAGTCCCGCAGATAGAGTCTCCGCGATGTCTGGAGGTGGAATGATCAATGGCTGCCCTATGATCGCTGCTAGTCCTTAATCTCGGCCACATTAACTCAATTTGCGTGATAAATAATAAGCGCAGCTCAACAAATGTGCGCCCCGGCATTCGAGCAAATCGTCTGCCCAGCCACAATCATAATTTATCAGTTTTATGCATCGCACAGTGGGCCAAAATGGGGGTAAAATGGGTAAATATTTATTATCTTAAAACAAAATAATACTAGAATTAAATTTAAGTCAGGTAAATCGAGGTTTATTGTAAGCAGTCTAAATTGATAAAGATGCAAGTGAAAAAAAATAGGGATAGTCTTAAGTAAAATACATAACTTTAAATTGCTTAAAATTACTTCAATAAGTAATCCTTATAATAGTAATAAACTAACAAGTGTAAAGGCTGAAAATCCATAGCTTAATATACATATTATTATTATTATTGCTGCTTTATACAATAAGTTAATAAATGCATTTAAAATTGATATCAAGATACCTAAAGTGCAGTACACAATGGGACTGCCACAGTGAATTCTCGGCCTGGACAGAACGAATCTATTTAAAGCCCCACTCTTAGCGGCAACCACCTCCCATTTGGCTGGCCCACCTCCATTCCGATTTGGAATTCACAACCCAGCCACATCCCAATCCACTTCCACCTCGACCCCAACCTCCTCCTCCACATCCACATCCACATCCCCATCCACATCCATATCCACCTCCTCCTGAGTGCGAACAGGCCCAGAGCACTTAATCATGCGAGTCTTGTTGCAGATTAACTCATTACTTAACACTTTTCCACCGACGATGAAGACGACGACTGCGACTGCGACTTCCACTGACGGATGTTGATGAGCATAATTGTGTGGCCACAGCGTAAATCGGAAAGGCCGGCTAAACGGCGAGATGGAGACGACAACACCTACAAATCAGCAATGGGTTGGATTTGGATTGCTACACTTAAACAAAGTACCTATTTATCACTGAACCACCTTGTTTTTTCAACCTGTAAAAAGAAGAACATCAGATATAGATCAATCTCTAAAAGATTTTCATTAAATATATAGAAATGTATATGTAGAATGTAATAACAGAAAAGCAAACATCTAATAAGCTAAAAAAAAAAATGTAATAAGCTTTTAATTAGCCAAAACTGATTCTTTTTGGTGACCCCTTAAGGTGATATTTTCTCTCAGTGTATATCCCCTGTGGGGGCGTGCCCATCGACATCGATTTGGACTGTTGCGTGCGTTGGAAAAAATGTTTCAAAATTGATGTTCACCTTCTGCCATGTTTGCCAACCCTCCTTGAAAGTCGGGGGACTCCTCCTAATGACTCGGAATATGTTTTGTTGTATTTGCAGCATTAACATTCCTTTGCAGCCGAAAATGTCTTATAGAATATATAGTATATATATATATTGCGCAAACAGGCTTAAGTAGAACTCATCCGATGTCATTGGAAATGGTTTGTATCTGATGCTTTTTTGGGATTGGCTGCTGGCTTGGAGTGCATTTGCGGTTAATTATACTTACAAAGATTTTGTGTGGCATATCCGGAATTAATATTAATGATCTGCGATGGAAATCAACCCAAAGATGAGGTTCATTTGCATAAGGAAGTGCATAGCCGTCAATTGAGACGAATTGAAAAGAAGGAAGTGTCGAGATGATGATTTTATACGGGAAAGGAACAACGTTCAACGGGTGATGGATAGTAATTTTACTATAAACAAAATTATAAAGATATATGCATTAGATGAGATGGGATCCGAAATAATATAGCTTATCAATCGATTATCCAAATATAGGCAGATTAAGTGAAGCATCTAAATGTTAAATAACAATTGAAGAAACCAATTTTAAAATGCTTCCTCAATTAATCAAGTTTTCAATAAACTACATTCGGACAATAAAATTATTATTCATTTTTCATACTTCTCTTACATTTCCTAACAATAAAATTATTCAAAACTCCAAAAATTGATATAATTATTTATTGCACATTAATTTTTTAACAGCTTTATTCCAGGTAAACGAAGCTCTCGAAATTGATTATTTATTGAATTCATAACTCAAGCGAGTTTCTACTGCAACAGCCAGGATTTATGTAATTTCTATGCAGAATTTACAAGCATTAATTGAACAAAACTCTCACGCACACACATCGGGCATATGAAATGCGGCTGACAGACGTCAGAATGGAGAAATGCATAGATAACTACTGAGAAATCAAAGCGGAATTTTCCCCTTTCCACCTCGATAGTATTTCATTTCATTTGTTTTCGTATTTTTCCGGCATCGCCGGCATATTTCGAACCGTTCGGAGGAGAGTCATAACCAATTATTTACCAACACTCTCATGTCCTGGCACATCCTGAACAATCGGAAATGCAGTCAAGAATGCGAGTGCAACCCTCTGTCACAGTTTCCATGGCCATTGCCGTAATTACAGACATTTCGCATTTTCGCCAACAATTGTGCTACAAATTTAATGGCCTCTCTACCTGAATTGCGTATGCAAATAGCGAAATTTATGGCCGCCACCTTTGTGAATCTTTTTCCGATTTGTGGTTTTGTCCAACTGTGTGATCATTCAAGCAAATGATTCCGATCTTTTCCACCCTCCGACCATAATCCCCCCGATCAACTTGGGCTATATGGTAAACGAGAAGATTGAGGAGAACTTTGGCCGACGTTTGTGTAATCCTTTAATGGCCAACTATAAATGCACAAAGCTCAGGGGCCAACTGATAAATCTCCACTCATTATTTCCTCTATCTATGCCTAATCCATTGTGTTTGCCGGTGACTAAGAGCTCGCATTTGTTGTGGCAGTCAAATAAGGAACGAAAATAAAACGATGCTTTATCGAGAGTTAGACGGGGATGTCTCTATCCGAAATAAACTTTGAGAGCAACAATTAAATGTTGTATGGATATAGCACAACAAGACAAGTTGATTGATACAGGAACTTATATATTCAGGGCTGTATAAAATCTATATAAATCTATTACAAATCTTTTTTGATTTCCAGACAGGAAGTCAATTAAGGGAGTTGTTTTAAAATATAATGATATTAACTGGCCAACAAAAAATAGAATTTAGGAAGTTTATTTGAAATAAAATATAGTGAAATGAAATATAATGAACATTATTGGTCGACATCTATAACAATTTCAAAGGTTTGCTTACAATCACATAACATCAAATTTTATATTTGCAAATTAAATGTTATCTATAGTATTTTAACCGGCTTTTTAATTTCTTTTCTAAAGCTTCATGTTTATTAGTAAACTTGCCTTCCCACTTATCTTCTCTTAAGCATTGTTTAACCTATTTCCCATATCTCAGAAAATGCGTATTTCTTCGATAAGCCATCAACGCATCTGTAAGATGCGCCGAAGAGTATCTTTTCTTGTTGACTTGCTAATGAAAGCAAATGCATATGATTAATTACAAGGGAGTCTCTGCCTGTGACAGCAACAACAAATGAGCATTTTTATGTTGACTCAACCCCTCGACTTTCCCGCATTTTTAAAAATAACATCAAAGCAAACAAAGGCCAGTGAAAATATGAACTGCAAACTGCAAGGGAAAATTGGGAAGTGTGGCGAGTGGAAAACCCAAGACTCCGATGAAAATCTTGGCGACAGTTGAAAAGTTGAACAGTTGTTGTTGTTGTCTCTGATGTTTCTGTTGTCCTGGTTGTTGTTTCTGTTATTATTGCCTTTGGGGAGATCGTCTCATTGGCATGGGCCAACTTGTTCCAGCCTCTTTCTCGGTCCTCATCTTCATCTGACGACTGTCTGCCTGACAGGCGACTCCACGTTTGACGTTTGACAGTCGACACTGTCCAGGAAATCTCCGGGGAAGAGCCAAGGTGCAGCGATTTTATGGAGATGGAAACGTGAGACTCTAGTTGATTTTCACATTATCGAAAGATACCTCAAAAACACTCCAAACTAGCTTTCAAATGGAATATTAGGTAACCAATTAGCAAAAAGATAAAATTGTTATAACAAGACTCAATTCCTATAATCTATTGACTGTTTATTACCTAGTTTATTAAATTAAATTTAATAGGGATTTTACAAAAACCATTTTCAAATAATAAATTTTATATCCTAAAAATCCTATTGCAAGAGAAACACTTCAAAAAATAGTTTAGGTATATTAACTATAGTTAATAAGTTTTTTGTACCAAAAAAGATACAAGTAAAGAATGTTTCCAAAAAAAAAAAAAAATTCAAGTCAACTAAAAATTGAAGCAAATTAGGAAAATAGTTTTATATATTTCAAAAAAATGCTACAAATTTTAAAAAAGAACCTGACATTAAAGATAGTTATATTCATTAAATTCCCTTGTACTGTTTAACTGTTATTGGTTTTTTTTGGATCTAAAACATATATGTACAATCTTTAACAACGATTATATAGTTTGAAAGGGTGGAATTTTTGAAATGGAATTTTAAAACTAAAATGATTTTCTGTACAGCCTATTAAGCACCTGTCTACCTTATCTTTGCAATATGCCAATCAACTTCTAGCGTGAGTCACGCTCCCATTACCAAAAGGCGGGCCAGACGACACTTTTGCTTCCTTTTCAACATTTTATTTTACTTTTTTTGTTAGCGGCTGCCAAATTCCGATGGCGAGATGTCGAGATGTTGGGAGATGGCGATGGTGAGATGGCAGCATGCAAATTGCGAATTGCAAGGGGGCCAACGCACAAATCGAGTTGTCGTAAAATTAGCACTTAATGCTTTAATTAATTACTGAGACGTGCGATGCGGGAATCGAGCCGAAGTTGTTGTTCCCGCTGATTGTTGTTCTTGTGTTTGCCGTGGTGTGCGCGGCATTTAATGCATTTCGCATTTATTTATGGCCATTGGATGCGCGTAACTCAACGATTCCCAGCCCGGTGTCTCATGTTCGGCCACGTCAAGTGTCAGGCCATTTCACCAGAAAGCCTGCGGATTCGAAAACACAAAAGACAAATATACCATATACCCGCCATGCGAGGGGATATTCATTGGGCATCTCTCGCAAATATTTCACACTTTCACAAAAGGGCAACCTCGCTTCCCTTTATCCGTTCGCTTTGTGATGTTGATGTTGGCTTTATGAATGGATTGTGTTTTCTGGGCAAAGATATTGCGGTTGCAGTTTTATTTTTGCCTGAGTTGTATGCACATTGTCTTATCTGCTGACTTGAACAAGCTGCAATTTGGTTAACTGAAAGATTTGCAATGACCCAAATTCGTACATTGTTTTGTCAGGTCAAACAAGTTCTGAAGAAATTGGTTTTACGACTTTATAAAATTTTTTAATACATTATAATTCCTCCAAAAAATATTCAAGAATATATAAACATTTTAAGGCTAAATATTTTTGTAAATATGGAAATGCAAATTATAATTAACATAATATCTTTTCCAAAATTTCTTATTTTTATACCCTAGCAGAGGGTATTATTTTATTATTAAACCAGCTTAGATCTTCGGAATTCCTCGATCAATTATTTTATTATTTATTTATTTTATTATTAAACCAGCTCAGATCCTGGGACTTCCTCGATCAATTAAAGAGCGATTCAGAGCGCTCATCCTTTGATGAAAAACGCATCTCATCTCGTCTATCAGCGCAATTGTCACATGATTAATGCCATCGGAAGATATATACCTTTGTGGCCGGGGCCACGCCCCTTTGGTCGCGACTTAATGAATGACCATGTGAATGAATGATGGATGAATTGATAAAGCCAAATGGCGAAATTGTGTATTTGTTGCTGGCCATTGTGCGGTCCACTCATCTGCGATATGGAAAGCAGGTACAGGTTGCGTCTTATCTTAGCCCCTTCTTGACCCCGAAACTCATTGTCAACATATTGCTATTGTGGTTGTGCGGATGCCGAGGCATGTGATTCATTCATTTGCCACAGTAATGCCCTCAAAATACAATTTATCTGGCTTGGGGGATTTAGACATTGGCAGACAGACAGAGACACAGATACAGATACAGAGATACAAAGATACAAAACCGCATCCGCACCCACCGAAAATCCTTTTCGGCCACTTGACTCATTAGGCGCGTATTGATACCGGACCCACTGCATCATCATCATCATCATCGTGATTCCATCCCATCCTGCTCTCGTCGGTTGGATCTTCTGGTGTTTGCATGATTTGCATTAATTTGGCAAATGTTGTCGATACCGGACGCCGCCGATAAGCGCTGACATGACCAGATCCATTTGGTCATTAATTAGCCCACCAGCTTTCCATTCCTTTCCTCTTTGGCGTGTTCTTGCCCACATGAAAGCCATGACATTGCATAATAAATTACCAATTCATTTCGCATTTCGCACGTTCTTCGACTGCCGCTGCCGTTTCTCCTGTTTTGGTTACACATTTGATGTGCTTTCACAGAATCGGGCAAAAAAACGAACAGAGTAATCCGTTAACGG